CCGTTTCCGTTCGACGTGTTGTAATTTTCTCTAAATGCAATCTCGTGCCAATTGTTCTAGGAATTTAACTTTATATCAAATTTAGTCAAATTAGCTTTTGTTTTTCCTCCCTAAATCGATTGATCAAACCCCCTACATACGTTCTTCCGTCTTGTAATAAATGGAATTTCAAATTAACCAATAAGCTAATAATTAATGTATGAGATGTCGCAATTTTAATCTAACCAATGACGTTTTACTTTAGTAATTTTAAATGTTCGAATTTTTCTTTCGCAGTTATTTGTTGTTTTATGACAGTTTGGGAATTCTTCTTGTTAAAAAAATAATAAAAATGATGCTGTGGTAAAATAGTTTGATGTCTGGGAATTCCCTATTATCAGTTATGATATCGTATAAAATATTTTCTGATGTCATCACCAAATGACAGAATAATTTAATTAAATATCTGTAATGATTTACGTCTTTAAATAAACATTTTTTATTTAATTTTTATTAAAATTCATTTCATTAAAAAAAATAAAATTTTCAAAATTATTCGTTAAGCTCCGCGAGGGGAAGAAAGAAGAAATATTCGATTAGTTTTTCTATTGGTTGATTTGAATTTAAAATTTTAAAATTAAGCGACGTTATTTTAAAATATATCCAATAAGCTACCGATATATTATTACGAAATAAAATTTAACTTTTTAAATCAGCCAATAAACTTGACGTATTTTAAATTTTGAATAATAATCGTTTCGTATTGGATAACACAGAAAAGACATAATAACGAAATTATATTATTTAATATATATTTTTCGATTTCAAACGTGTCCGTCTCCTCTTTTTTTTTTCTTTATTGTAGCTTTGTATAATACTAAAGCGATTATTTTCGAATTTAATTAAAGGAAAAAGAAGAAAAACTTGTCAAAAACAAAAATTGGACTGTATTTGTGTATTTGTGCAGAAAACACTTTAAACGATCTTTAAAAATCAATATTTGGTGAGAAACGACACGTGACTCTGTCATACCAATTCAACCTTATCGTACACAATGACCTATTTTTATAATATCAATATTTCTTATTTTACCGCCAAAGTATCCATTAAAATCTAGATAAAAACAACGATTTATATACTCTATAAGCCTTTATCATTTATTAAAACTGTAGTAAACGTCCGGCATTATTCTAGGACCGTCCCTTACATCATCTCGCACATCCGGATGTAGTAAATCAGTGCTTTTATACCTTCCTACCCCCCGTTCTTAAAGTGATTTTTGATGAGTTTCTTTACTATCTTCTGTTTACCAGTATTATCGAGTAGTAAAATTCCCATTTGGCTTCTTCACATATTACAAAACTCGAAGGATTTTCCTTTCTCTTTATGTCTCTAGAGGGGCAGCTACAAATATTGTTTAAATGGATCGTGCGGAGAGTTAAATTAATTTTTAAATACCCCCGAGATGGTTAGTTTGTTAAAATCTTTACACCTGACACGGTAGGAGGTAATTTCGTTTGACACGTATCCATTACAGTGAGTACTCACTTAGCAAATATTTCTTGTAAATATTTGATGATATGTGTGTATGTGTGTTTGGTTGAAATTATCCACCCGATTCTCATCGATTTCCTTGCTTTCATCAGCTGAGAATACATCTACTATACAGTTTACGGTGAATGGGTTGATAAATTATCAAAGTTGACTGACCTATTCGTGGTCCCATCTGCTTGGCTCCTGACGAGTTTGTGTAATTCCACTCCGTAATTAAAGCTTGTACACAAAAGTGCATCCCATTAGCTAGGTTATACATTCAGAAAACTATACCAATGCACCTAATTACTATATTTGTTTACGTTCGTTTACGTTCGTTTGAAAAGCCTGAGGATAACAATTGTTCTCATCACGAAAATGTAACTTGATTTGACTTTCTCTTGACCATTTATAAACATTAGTAAACTTTCTTTGAGAGTTACTTTTCGTTTTTCAAACCCGCCTTTTTACTTTACAAATCGTTAAATCTATACTAATATTATAAAGAGGTAATTTTTGTATGTATGTATGTATGTAAGTTTGTTTGCAGCAGGTAATCTCCGAAAATACTTAATTAAAATGAATAATTTACAGTATGATTTTACGCGTCATAAAATTTAAAAAACAAATTGACCAATTAAACTGCTGGAATTCAAAATTGTATTAGCTATTAACCAATAGCACATTGTAGATTTGAATTTTTGAAATTAATTGACCTATCAGGTTTAGTTATTTGATGCCGTGGTAAATGATTAGAAAACACGAAAATCTTTGAAAAACATGCCATAAATTACGCTTTATTGTCGCGATAATAAAGCAAAATTTTAATTAATGAGATCGCCAGGTCATTAGTTTGATAAATCGAGTTGATAGGGAGATGTCAGTCAAAATAAACGTTGGAGGTGGGGGTTAGAATAATTAAGAGAAAGTAAATCCTGTTATATAATGTTTAAGTCACATATCAAACGAGAAATGCTTTGAGACAATGGCTAACACCAGTTATTCTTGAATTAATTAATTTAGTTCGTCTTTTTGGTATGATTAAGATCCTGTTTCGTATGTTTCTAGTGTGAAAGAACGTAACATAAAAAAAATCGTTCAATTTGGCAACACTCGAAAGTGTAGAAAGTTTCCTTGGAGTAATTCCATCATTAAATTCCTTTTTCTCTTTCATTAAAGAACAGAATAAGAAGCAAAAGTTATTTTAATTAGGATGGATAGAAAATCAGCTTATTAAACTGCGCCTTTCGTATATTAATTTTTATTATTATTATTTTTTTTTTTGCAATAAAAATTCATCAAGGAAAATTTAAGCCAATTATGGTATTATAATAAGAAAAGAATTAAGTTTTCTTGACGTCATCAGCTACGNCACTAAGAAGAAATTTTTCGAAAAATTCCTCCCCCTTACGGGGAAGTGTTACAAATTTATAATAGATACATTTTGAGCCACAACAACGCGTGGCGGGGTCTGCTAGTTGATGATAAATTTCTAGTAGTGTAGTTAGATGTAAAGCATATAACAAAAATATTTCGTCTGATGGAAACTTTTATACTTCACATAACAAAATGGCCGCCATCGTGTGAAGTTTTAAACCGCGTATTTCTAATAACGTATGCACATAAGTCAAAATTTCAATATAGAAGTAATAAGAACACGCGCCACTGGTCATTTTGCTTCAGAAAATTGCCCTTAAGAATACTTGTATACAATAGAAAAAACTTTTTCTGACAGACAAATATAAGTATAAACTATATTAGAGACGTTAAAAATGGTTGCGGATAACGATTCTTCCAGGTTTTATCGGCTTAGCCGCCATCACCTCGCGATCTACAATAAAAATCCTATTATCTTAGCGACTGCCAGACTTGCAAATAAAATTATTGATGTCGAGTGACGAGAAAAAAAGTTTCCAGTTATCTTAACTATTGTTTATTATACTCATCTATTCTGCATATATATTAAATGTCACATGCCATTAACACGCTTCTGACGTTCTAGATAAGCTCAGGAACCTTATGAATAAGCTCTAGAGCAGATTTTACGAACATCCTGCGTAAATTTTAAATACCACGTTCTATTAACACGCTTACAACCACTAAGACCTTACAGGCAGAACTTTGCGAGTTCAAGTATGAGTTTTGTGAACGTTCCTCATTACGGAATTGTTCGTATTTGCTTACTTTTGAAAGAGGTTCATATCACAGCCAAAATACATTTTTAAAGCTTTATTACGTCCGTTTTGCACTCGTTATATTAATACAGTATAGTGTAGAATACCGAAAAGCAGACAAATGTCGAACACAGCGGCCAGCGCTCTCATAAGCGGGCGATCGAGAACTCTGTATTTGTTTTATAACAAACTCTGGATATATATCGCGTGACGAACGACAATAAACAAAAGAAAACAATGCTGAAAAACTTATTTTTCCGAAACAAAAATTTGCTTCGGTTACTCAACACGCAATTTTACTAACAAGTTTTAACGCAATGCCACGAACGGCTTCTGTCTATCCATTTTTTAAATATTTTCCAACCTCAGGTAGTTATCTTCGTGGTATTAAATAATGTAAATTGGGTTACGCGTAAATATTTTATGTTGGAGGGAAAAAAACTGCAGTCTTTCGTAAGAGGTTATAAAAGAAACCTCATAATTGGAAAGAAAATGGGCGAAAAAAATTCTTTATTGCGCTCATTGTCGTGCTGTATTGCGTTTACCAAATGACGTTGGTGTTACCCTGGTAACGTTAGGAGTGATGCAGACGTCACTACGGTAACCGAATTTGAACCGTTAGATAAATAAATTTGCAGTTTTATGTTGTTATAAACAAATTTTATTATTATTATTTTTTAAATGATCGATTTGGAATTGCTGTTAAAATTTTACCGGTGTTACGCTTTGTCGATCGAATTGTTTTAAAATGACTTACTAATTCCCCGCTGCGTGTCGAACGTGTCAGATCTTATCATCCAGAAAATTGTTTATTAAAAATGAATTTTTTTTCTAATTTATTCTGGCAACACTTATTCAAAAATTAAAAAATACAGACGAACTTTTTAAATATGCTGCCACCTCGAATATTTTTTGAATTCTCGAATAAGTAGACAAATTTTACAAGACTAATTCGTATCGAAGTCAACGTTTTTGTCTACTCAGTCGCAATATTTCTGATAAAAAAATAATTTTATAATTTATTACTTAAAATTACCCTTGAATAATAATCAGTGTTGCCATCCTTTCAAGTTTAAGTTTCTTGCTAATTTTTAAACAGCCTTAAGAAATGAAGTGTGACGTCATAGATGTCGTAATAATAATTTTCTAGATCGATTGCTTTGAAATGATTATATCAAGGAGCGTCTTTTTAAATTCAAATCATCCAATCCAGAGCCCAGTTTTTCAGCCTTTTGTTGCGTATTCGCTTTCGTGGTTATTTTTATATGAATAGAAGAAAAATGTATACACTAAAGACCATGTATTTCGTTGCAGATAACAATTCGACATGCAGGACTGGGCCGTGGCTGCCACGCTGCTGGCCGTCAGCATCGTGATAACCGCCGTGTTGATCGCTCTATGTCGTCATCTGGGAGGTCGGCCGTGGATCGTGGCCTGGTTGACAGGTGACAAAGAAGAGAAAGCGCAGTTGGCGAAGAGCGATCAGAATTCTCTGAACGGATATGTGGTAAGTAGGGACCGCAAAATCACTATAATTATGAGACTTTTGCCATCCCCGAAACTTTAACGAAACGATAGCCACGATTAATTCAACGTGGCGTTGTAGTAAGTTTCCAGTGCGATTTGCAAATCGTATCAAGTTGAACCCTGACTCTTCCGATCAATATTCTCTATTCCTGTGTCAAAAACTAGTGACATTCAATTCCCAATTTCAGGTCAACTCGGGGTGCACAGTTTCGTTAGATGGTCACGATCATTATAGAAACGAGATCTCCAACACGCCTCCCAAACAGGAGACGCCATTATCTACTACCCAAACGACAGTTACACCACTAACGAGACAATGGTCGTGGGATAACGAGAAGGTGAGAGATACTCCAAGCATGGACAGAAGATTCAGCCTTGACCTCGATCTGCAAGACTTGCTAGGTAAGACGATACCGAAAACAATGGTTACGATGCTACCTGCAAAACTTTAAATTTAATCTTTTCTAGGCGATGGTTACCCTTCTCGACTCAGAAGAGCCATGTCTTGCGATAGCGTCAGTTCTGACACGTCAGTGGTTCTGGATGCGCTTGATTCTCCCGAACATTTTGGAGAACTGGAGGTGGTTCTCCAATACAGGTACGCATCATCCTCGCTTACTTTGCTGCCACTGTTCTGGTGCTTACAAGTTATACTTGCAGTGAAAGTGAAGAATTATTGGTTAACGTTCGACAAGCGAAAGAACTCGTTGTTCCAGACCCTAATCTACCAGTCAACAGTTACGTTCGAGTATGTTTGATGCCTAATCAATCCGTCAGCATGCAAACACGGGTAAGTGTATGCCACAGTTCTATATTTGTCGCACTTTAATGAATATTTCACCTTCCAGTGACCCATTTTGCATCGTGTCATCAAGCTAGGCGCGATCTATAATTGGCAAACCAGTCGACATTTCACGTATCATCGTTACACATCCATAATTAATGGAAAACCCCGCGTGGAAGTAGGACGTAAAGTTTGACTTCCTCTTAACATTTCCAATATATATATATTTTTTGTTTTCTTCCTTAGGGATTTCCTTTTCTAGTGGATGTAGAATTGGACAGATATTAACTGCACCAAGTATTTTTATTAGTAGCTTTCCCAATTTTCTCTTAAGTGTGTCTTCAGACTAAATTATCGATAATTTCATCCAATTCTTCCGTTGCTTAGAGAGAAATGTACAGGAAAGCAATTCGATCTCTGGCATTGGGCCAGCAAGATAGAAAAAACAAGAGAGATTAGGTAGATGTAATGCTTGGCTTCCGAATTATCCACTCTAATTCTTTTTTTTTCTAATTTGCTACGTTTTATCATTCTGAAGATTTGCTTGTTTAGAGTACTTTCTTAATGGTTAGTTTGCTTCCTGATGAACAATCTAAGCGTAAATTCGTACACAGATAACTCGATAATCACACGAGATTTCCTACTTTTCTCGTTAGTTTATGGTTTAAGATGTATGTAGAAGTTTGATGGATTCCAAAGACTATACTTTGTCATTGTTAGAAGGACACACCTCTGACCTACTTACTCTAATCCACAGAATTGATTTTGTTTGTGAAAAATCACTTTACAGTGTATTGTCTTGCCAATATGCTATATATAATACTCTGCTGTGGGGAATGCATAACTTCATTTATTTCAGATGGTACCGCTACAGACATTTCTCATTCAGGTTGGCCAATCGAGCAAGACCAAACTTTGAGCTGATGAAATGGACAGAAGCAGCAAGGTACCTCTCCGGCTGTTCTGAACTTTTGATTAGTAGGAGAGGGTACCTTTCTATTTCTATCCGTTTAATCAGAATGAAGTAACAAGGTACCCCTCTCCTGCTATTCGGACATCCCCTTTCATTTCAAATCAACATCTTGGGAATTATTTGGGTCAAATCACTCGTGGAAATCTTGGATACTTCTTGGCACTTAACTGACCAAATCATCACTCACTGAGATTAGTTGAAGCCTTGTTATACAGCAGGTGATGTGCTGGTGTCTGACATCAGATCAATCAAAACTAAATCACTGGTTACTTCTACACTAGCTTAACACTATGAAAAATTATGAAATGAGAACACTAAGTCAAATATTTGCATATCTTTACATGATACTTCCATTTCTCTGTAAATGAATTTCTTATTTGTCAAATTCAGGTGCAGATAAATACTCGTAATCCTGTATATAATGAAAAATTTCTGTTTGGTGTGAAAGAAGGAGAGTTGCATAACCATTCTGTAGTTTTTTATGTATACATCTGCGATAAATATTCCAATACTTTGCTGGGAGAGTGTGAGATAAAGTTGGTGGATCACCATGAAATTGGCTTCCGACAGCCGTACAGTGCAAGGCTAACCATTGTCGACTCAAATCAGGTAAATTAAATTTCATCTCATGCATTCCAAATTTCCTTCTTTTCTGATACTTTTGTCTCTGATCTTACAGGTAAATGCCTTGGGAGATCTCATGTTCTCACTTAGTTACTTACCTACAGCAGAACGTTTAACAGTTGTGATTGTAAAAGCTAGAAATGTTCAATGGACTGAAAATAACAGACATAAAGGTAATAGATTGTTCAAACTGTTCCGGTATGATTTATTGATGCAATTTAATATTCTTCTATTCTTTCAGAGATGTTTATCAAAGTGTACCTGCTACAGAATGAAAAGAAGATAAGTAAGAAGAAGACATCTTTGAAAAAGGATGATGATAACCCAGTTTTCAACGAGGCCATGATATTTTCTGTTCCCTCTTCTGAATTACAGGTGATTATATCAGCAATACAGAAATGTCAGTTCTACATTATCCTCAGAAAAATGATGGAGATGGAGAGCGCTCCATCCCCATCTTCACTTTGGTTTGTATTGCTTAATCTGCACCAAGTAACTGGTGTAGAGTATAAAATGAGGTAGTTGGGACCTTATCAGAGCCATACACCATGCTCACAGGAGTAAAAATTTCAAAGGAACCAATGGTCTCTAAATATGATCATTTCTGAGTTATAGTCACCCCCAGAATCAGCCTATATGGAATTTTGAAGACCCTCAAAAATGAGATAAATCTAAAAATCACCTGTTTTAGCTGTTTTGAGAAATGGTTCCAGATTTTTTCACTTTTAAATTTTATCTGTAGTAAAATGGAAAAGCTTGTAAGCATAAGAAATGCCATTGCAGTTGCACTGCATGCTCCATTAAGTCTTGCATGGTGTAAAAAACATCCAGGTCAAGATATTCTGTATCTCACCTAGGGTCACAATTAGAGATATGGTTCCTTTTTTTTTGATCATCCAGGAGTCCAAACTCCTCATTCAGCACTGAAATTTTACAATGGTATATATACTGTATAGCCAGTACAACAATAATTAGAAGCATAAAATAGCTTCACACTAGTAAAGATTATTGAGTGTTGTAGAACCTCCATTTCTTTACTATTCAAATCTACTTGCCATTTCTTAAAATTTTCTCTCTTTTCTTTGCAGAATATCCAGTTACGTCTATCCGTAGTGGAACACTTTGGCCAGGGCAAGTCGGCTTCCATCGGTCACATATTTGTGGGATCGCAATGTACGGGCAAGTCACTGATGCACTGGAACCAGATGATGTCCTCCCTTCGAAAGCCAGTAGCACTCTGGCATCCCATTAGAAAGTGAAAAAAAAAAAAAAACCTGTCTCAAGAACTCTACATTAAAAAATATATTAGCATATCAAAAAAAACCTAAACGAAAATTGAAATTTTTATTACAGATTCCATCTGGATCATTTCCTTCGATCACACTTTTTTGATATTATTCTATTCTTAACACATCATGCAGATACTTTTATATTTTATAAACTGACTTTTATGGTAACATAGGAACTAAACACCATTACAAGAATAGAATTTTCAATCAGAATTAAGTTATACTTAGAGAAAACATAAAAAAGAACTGTCTAATACGTTTGTAATTAAAAATTTGTTACCATTTTTATGATGTTTTACATATATCATTCACAGTTTGTAGAAATTTCAAATCATCGTGGAATGAATCATATCGTTCAGTATATATGCAAATGTTTCGTGTATTAGAGACTATTTATACAAACGATATGCAGAGTACGTTTATTTAACGGACAATAAGTAAGATCACTTACTGATCTATCTATATATATACATGTATATGTCATTGTTTCGATATTTAAAATTAGAGAAATATATAGAGATGTTATTCGTTATACAGAGGGACCAGAAGTCGCCTCCTTAGAATTAGCAATGTAGCTTGATTCTTCAACCGTTGTTTCATTTGGTTTCACTATGTTTCACTATGGCAGGTTTTGTATTGTTGATAAGCAAATAGTTGTGAGACGTGAAAGCCAGTAGTCTGTAGTGATATTTGTGGTTAATCTGCGACTAGTTACTGGAATACGTTGTGTTGTAAATTTGTTTATATCAATGTTAAATTACATATACATGAAATTTTATTTTATATATATTATGCTTATAACAGATATGTTTCTTAGAGATTTCCACTCCCATTAACTAACTAATGCTCATAAATTTTGGAGTGGAAAGGAATATTCACGAGGCATACACATACCAGTTTTATTTTTGTGGCAATGCAAAGTTAACAACTGAGAAGCAGCGATAAAAATGCCAAGTTTTACAAGGTGATTATACAAATTTCTAACACATATCTTCCAATTCTTGTTAACCTTTTAGCATATTTGTAAGTATTAGAAAATGAATTTTGAAAAGTTGATTGCTCAAAATCATTCAGTAATTCAATTTACACTGAGGAAGGGCTGCAGAAAAGAGAAAAATCTTTTTGTATATATATAGTTTATGTTCATAAAACATCTACAGATGCAAATTTTACACATTGTTGCACGATTAAAACAAGAATAAGATATATTTAAAAAGCACAACAACTTCAAGAAATCATTATCATTCTTATGCAGAATACCATCAATGGGTGGTATATTTTATTTTTCTTCCACACACAACTAGATTGAAATCAAATCTACATATCAAAATTTATCAGAATATTCATATTTCCTCTCCAAAGTACAACTACAAACTATGTGATATCTATCACCTATAATGGTATCGATGAAGCTTCATGCAAAGAACGTGATTTGCTAGGGGAGTTATTCTATGTTTTGTTAGTTTATTGCATTTTGCCATGCGAAATTTTAACATAACTGCATAAATTTCTTTCATTATTGAACCTGTATCAAGTTACTTAGACTGTGTTTTCTTATATATTTATGTACGATGTTCCATTTGAAATGTAACAACAAAAAGTGAGACTGTACAGCTTAAAGGCTTCGTGATCTATTTGTCATCTGTAATTGCACATATCAACTACTAATCTTCCGCAGCTGGCGCGCAAACATTGTTATGTCTTAAAAATAATTTATGCCTATTGTTTTTCCCAAATGAAATGAGCAATAAAACAATTTAAGTTATTGCGAGAAGCAACCTGTTGATCTTTGAAATGTTTTATTTAGCAATTACAATTATAAAAATATGTAAATGAAATGTGTAATTATGCTTCTGGCTAAGAAAATAAAATTTTTAAAGTGTTTTGTCTGTAACCATTAGCACGCCAGTTTTAAATAAGGCATGTAAACATACAAGAATTTTTACATTATATATTTGTACAACTTGCTTGTTACACAATTACGGTATAAAAAACATTACTCAATGAGAATCTAAATGGTCCTCTGCATCGATGGAAAGTTGCGTGACACTAACATCTACAATAGAAAATAACTCATGAAAAATTTTGGTTACAAGGCAAGCAATTTGTTAATTAAAAAGTGGCAAATTAGAAAGTATAAAGTTCTTACCTCCTACTATACATAGATTCCGACCCATAGTAAAAGAAACAATATACCGAATCCCAGAAAAACAGCAGCCACCAGAGAAATTAGCAGTTCCTTAAAGAGATCTCTGGTGAATTTTGTTGATGTAACTTCATAACTAGAGGATCTGTTAAGTTTAATTAACCAAAATGTTTATTTTTCTTGTTTTACATATTAATAGTATATAATGGGTATATTCTAAACTATTTACATGTAGACAAAAATTTATATTTGGAGCTTTTGAATAGTAAACTGGGTAAGTTAAGCAAGTGTTATAGTTTTGTATCTCATTCCAGGCTTTATCTAGAATTTCTAAAATTCAATAAAAAAAATTGCATTAAATACTTTAAATTTGATGCTACAATGACCAATGCTTAGAGAAGAGAAAATAGGAAAATATAGTCAAGTAGCTTTATGTGAAGGTGGTTCCATAAATTTGATATTTGCCAATTACCAAATAATTGCTTTTTGCCAAAGTGTTTGCATGTGGCAAGCATATATGTACATTTTTATTCTTAACAATTTCCACTCTTATTATCTAACTGGTGCTTATAAATTTTAGAGTGGAAAGATATTCATGAGGCATATACACACTGCTTTTATATTTTTGGCAATGCAAAGTTAATATATAATACTCAGTACATATAATATGGTCATTGTCAAGCATTGGTTCGCTGGGAAAATTACGAACATTTGTCCAAGGTTCATTCCCTTTGATTTGGCATAACATACCAGCAAGTGGAAAATGGTGAATAATAAACATCTGTCAAGCAAAGTCATGAGTAAATCATCCACACCTTCCTGGCAGTAGCCAAATATTTGCTCGGTATTCTGCAAATATCAAACTTGAAATGTAAGTCCAATTAATTATACTTGATTGTAAGCATAATTTAAAAATATTTTAACAAAATAAAAAATTATATTAACATGATAGGAAATTTTATAGGCTAATATCCTCTGGCTACAGGCTAATATGACTCAAAATCATAATCCAACAGGAAAAGGGAATAATTCCAACCGTTCACTGTATCACAAGTTGGCACAATTCTGAAGACGTTGGAAGTTTATATGGGACATGACAAGACAGATAAACAGCCTGCATCATGATAACTTTGAAAGAGACAAACACCACACACGCAAGTGTAAACAATAGCTGTCAGCAAGTTGCCTAGCAGATATTCTACACACTAATAAGTTAGAATATTTCCACTCCAATAAATGTCTTAGAACTAACAAGTTTGGTCCGTATCAAAAGTTAACAGTTCATTCTGATTAGATCGTGGGAAACTACTAAGTCAATTTATGTATTTTCAGAAACAGAAAATCAATTTATAGTTTAATTTATGACAGCTTTCTTATTCAGTTTTCCATAAATCAATTAAAGTTATAAAAATGATTGTTCAATATATTACCATTCTTCTTCCTACATACTATAAAGGAAATATATAAAAAAAGATAGAATTAACAAGTCATAGAAAAACTATAATGTAGAATTGAATATAATTCTAGAAATAAGATATTTACATTTTCTGAAATTTAAATTACTTTCATATAATGTTAACATAAATTTTAAGCAAGCATAATTCTTGAACGGTAATTGCTTACCTTATGGGTCAAAATTCTAATTAAGCCCACTAAACCTGGACGTAAGGAGTGAAAGAATTTGAGGGGGCACAAAAATTCAAAATAACAACAACAACAAAATTTTATGCAGAAACAATTCATAAGATTTTAATTTACACTTATGTCTTATTTTGTCCTACTTAAAGGAATTATCAGTTTAGTAGTTTTAAGAAATTAATATATTTAGTACTTAGTGCAGTACTGATGATGGGTTTTCAACAGCAATGCCCATTATCTCCTTTTTGGGCTACAATTTCAAAAAATTGCAGACCTATAAATTTCCACTGTTGTCCATCTGTCTTTTCTTAATCTCAAGAACGAAATTAGATAGATAGATGAAAGATGAAAATAAATAAAGTAAAATAAAATTTAAATATGTCAGGCAATATGTGAAAGTGCTGACATCATTAGAGAATGTGCTGATTGGTTTAACTGAAACATCTTGCATGATGTTGCTCTCAAGTTGATTCTTTCCATAGACAGACTATAATTTAATTTAAAACTTACATATTCAATCAAAATTGTCTCCACTGACAATACACTTTTCCCAATGCAATGGAAATGCATTAATTAATGTCAATTTGATAGAAATCACAAGTATGAGAAGCCAAAAAGTCCTTAATGGTACTTTTTATTGCATCCTCTTCCTCGAAGACTTTCCTTGCCAAAAATCTGTCCAAATGTATAAAAAAGGGATGGTCTGTTGGCAAAAAGTCTGGAGAATACGGCAAACAGGAAAGAATTTCATTTGAATACTTTCAATTTTGAGATGAATAATTAAAGAACCACAGACTTCCAAATGATGCTCCTCCTCTCTCTCACAGAGTTTGTGTGATACCCATCTGTCTAGCTTCTTGACTTTCCCTAAGATGTTTAGATGTCAAAAAATGGTTAAAAATGTACAATTTTTCTGTGATTTTCTAGACATGTTCTGATTTGACGACGTTCTTCAATTCTGATTTTTGACATTTGTATTCCCGGAATGAAATTTTTGAACCAATGCCCGGTAGCCTGCTTGCTCACATAACCCTTGCCAAAAGTTTTATTAGTATTTTGGGTTGCTTTGCCTGCATTATGTCCCTGCTTATACTTGGAAATAAAAATTATTTAATTTCTTTTTTCCATGCCATTGGGAAAAGTACTCCTAAACACATGGAACTCACAATATAAATGAGATTACATTTTCAATTTGCATGTTATATGCATGCTCTTCCAATTGCAAATATACAACACTGTTCGCATGGGAAAAAGTTGAACTGCAAGACCAGAAAGTTTAATTTTAAAAAATGGCCATTTCATTTGCAACAACCCAATAGATTATATTCTCTGAAAAATACAAATTCTTAGTCAGATAGTAAAAACATTAAATTATTTCTCAAGCAAAGGTAATGCTAGTTTATAAATATTTTTGAAGACTGATACCCTTGATTTGAAGCATCAGACTATATACATATAACAGCATGTGGTCAGAATAAATACGAGCGGTTCTCAGCTTTTGGTCTTTCATCTTTCAGCCAATGTGTTCATTTGTAGATAATTTGATACTTTTAGCTTGATTTTTGTATTCCAAATTAGCATTTTTATATATTTTCAGCCAGTAAATCTAGTGGTGTGGGTAGAAAGCACTACTGCATGATACCTGCCTTAAAAGATTTTATCTTTTTAGTTCTGTAGAAACAGAAATATCTTTATACGGTAATATACAGCTTGATTGCTCAATTTTTGGACATTCAACTTTCATACAAATTAATCTGAAAGTGCATTTAATTATAATGTAAAGTGATAAAGTTTCAGATAGTGAAATAAAAGCAATAGCTGGTGTATCCAGGAAGCACTAGCTATTGCTTTTATCAGTGATCTTGCAAGAACTAGCTCTTGCCAAATGCACTGGTTACTTGTATAATCACTAAATTCAAGTTGCATGGGACCTAGATATTATTCTAAGAAAATGCATAAAATACTAGCTGTTGTTATTTTCACTTACACTCATTGTCTACAGCCACTCACTGATCAAAGATTGGCAGTGGAAAGGCATCCAGTCATATAAACAGGATGTTTTAGGAATGTTTGACCAAATTTTACAGGCTTATAGAGAGGAAAAAGCCCAAATAAACAAGTTAAGAGCCTTTCTTTTTATCTGAAGTTTAATTTGCAAATTATTAAACATCAAAGTGAAATGAAGTGATTTCTGTTTTTTAAGTCTAAGTATTAAATTGATTCATCAATCACAATTTAATTAATTAATTCCTTTTAATTAATTAATCCAATCAAAAATACCTTTGCAGCTGTTCATCAGTGTCTCAGATAAATGATAAAGAGACTTTCAATAGTCATCACTGATAGAAGAAGAGCAAGATCATACAAAATTAATGGATACAGAGGAGCAATTATAGCTAGAATTGGTGAGGATAGTAGTAGAAACAAATGGCTAAAACAATAAGTGCCCCTCATTTAAGTGTATAGTGTATTCTTTGTAAATGCAGAAAATTTTACAATAAAACAATTATTATTATTGAACTTCAAATAGATAAACTGTAAAATCAGTTTTTCTTCCAGACTTGCACTTTTTGTGATCTATGCATAAATTGCTGATAGGCAGGTAAACTAGTTTGTTTGCAAAGCGACCTCACCTACACAGATATATAGTCTGTCTGCTGTAACTTTGTTCACGAAACAAAGAAGTAAAGTGCCAACCTAATCAACATATGTTATAAAAATTATCCTTCTTAGTTACCTGTCTCATTGTAGAAACAAAGGCAGTGTCCTAATAAAAATGCAAATACATTAATTATTAAAAATTTAGTCCCGGAGACAACTGTTAAGAGTGCTGTTTTTTCGAACTATTTCTTGCACAAGAGTGCATGAAGTTATAGTGAATGAACTAGTAGATAACAAGACTATCAAGCTAGTTCACTTTTGTACCCTCAGATAATGGGCTTAACTGCCAAAAGTATTTGAGAAACTGCTACTTAATATATTACAAATAAAGCAGGTTTTGGTTTCTAATATGTAGATCATAAATGTAAAAATTTTATGACAAGTCAAAATTCTTTCTATCTCAAAAATAAAACAATAAAAGCTTGCCATGTTGGTTGGTATTTTTCTGTTATAAAATAGGAAATAAACTTTAAAAAGTATTTTTTCTCTTCAAAACTCTTTCCCTATTTTGAGATTTGAGAATATCTTCATTCAGTTCAACAACAAATACAAAAGATGCATTCATCACGAACGAATGATCTGACAAGAAAGAAAAAGGACAACTTAAAAGCCTCATAAAATGTTGCAATTTTAAGTAAATTATTAAAATTGTTAATAATTTTATATATAGCAGAGTAATAACTTGCAAAAAATGTATTGATTCACAAATTTACTTTATTAATCTGTATTTGTGTACACTAAACTACATCACCCTCATTGACTCACTGACCAACACAAAATGTGTGAATGGAAACAGACCTGTTATTGAAAAATTAAACAATACAATTGAAAGAAAGGGCATATTGCCTGGTAAAGCAGCTTTAATACAGCTGGATAAGCAAACCAATGATATAGACTGTTTCATTTGAAATGAGCCATGTTGGATTGCTTATCCAGCTGTATTAAAGCTGCTTTACCACACAATTCATCCAAAATATCATGTATTTCACTAGATAAATCTAAAATCTCAACACCCCATAAGATGTCAACATTTTACAAGGCATCAAGTGAATGCCTCATGAAATGTTGCAATAAATACCTTTTCGTTTTTAATCTTTTATGTCTTATGGCAAAAATTACATTATAAATATGAGAATTTAGCCACAAATTTTCCAAAATTTAGTGCAAAATGGGCATGAAAGAAGACATTTTTGGACCTGGGACAATGAAAAAAATCTAGCCACCCTAAGTCTTATTTATATGTACCAGTGCTGTATTTTGTAACAGTTGTAATATCTGCAAAATATTTCAGCTTGTAATATCATATAACGTATACAACAAATGTTTTTTTCAAAACTAACTGATATGACTCGTGGTTTACTTATGACACATTTAAAACCCAATGAGTCACTGGGACTCACAAAATCTTTAGGTTAACATATGCTCTGCATTTATTATTGCTACTTAGAACCTGAACAATTTTACTTATTTTGCCCAATTTTACAGAAAATGTGTTCAAGAATGTAAAGTAAATGAGTAATTTATCTTCATAAAGTAATTTAACTTCAGAATTAATATAGGCTATTGTGTTTTCATAATAAAATGAAGTTAAATTACACGAAGACAATTAAAATTACAACTGTTGTGTATATGTAATGCTCATATCTCATAAATAAAATATATGCAAAAGGATACACGAAGAACCATGCCATAAAAAATATTCCTATGCCAAGCAGGACCAAGGTCAGATGCGGATACACGGCCGGATTGACCGGACTCACGTATCTATTCATCATCTCGATATCCATCTGAAATGACAAAAAAAATATTATTTAATGTCATAAAATTAGGATCAAACAAATTTTGTAAACAAATTGACACAAATTAACATTTCCATATCTTTTGCAGATAACTTCAGTCAAAACTGGAATGATTATCCTATAAACAGGCTGCAAACAGCTTAATTGATGTTATAAAAATGAATATGTATGGCATGTTCATGTATATTTTAAACTGAATGCTGATCTTATTAAAAGAAATATATTCAATGTTGCTAATCTCCTTTATCAAATGAATTTGGAATTATATCTGGATTAGTACCACTCATTAGCTTTAAGTCAACAAAAAGAAATTCTAGTACACTTTACTCAATAAAATACTAAGCAAATGGAGTTGTTGAAACAAAAAAATTTATGACAAAATTAAAGATATTATAAAATGTAAAATTTGCTAAAAAATGAATGAAGTTACATCCTTTAATAGATTGTACAGTACGTGACAAATTTTTTCTTTTCTATCTGTCTGCACAGCATCTTAGTCCTTAAAACATACAAAAGAACCTCAAAAGAGTTAAAGGAGTCAGGATATTTATTTAGATTAATTGCTTTTTAGGATTTTCAACCATCTTCATATTGGCAACGTTCAACATTCTGACAATTTGAACAGAACACTTTGAAGATTTGTTTGAATTGTCAGTACATCAAATAATGTGGATCTGTAAATGGGATTGAAAATCCTAAAAAGCATTTAATCTGAATAAATATCCTGAATCCTATAACTGTGAGATTAGCCGGGGGTACAACTCCACTTAGGATCGTTCGTACCACTTAATCGGCAGCTAGTCGGTGAGACTAGTTCTCTAGGATGCAGATCACGAGATCTGATCTTATGTCAAGATTTGTTTGACCGGAGGGCTTTTATATACTGATCCAAATCGCGTGATTCGGATCTACGTCAGGATTCCGTGACACCAGTTAATCAAACTTATTAGACGCGGATTAACACGCGTACGCGATCTGATTCGGAAATGATCTGGGGAGACATTCTTATAGCATAAAACAAAAGTAAAATTTAATAAAACCAAAACAATTGAATACAAAAGATCAAATACAAACGATTATACGACAAGTTATAGACTACGACTTAATCTAAGCTAATGCGCGTTCGAGAGAGAGAGCTCACAAATCTATCATAAACATACGACCTGTTAGTTGTCGTCTTCGTTTCTGTAGATATAGGACACTTTGCAGATAGGATTCATCTTCTATCGTATGGGAGATTAATTCTTGCACAAAATAAAAAATATCACTTCTTCTAAGTGTAGACTCGGGACTTAGTCTATCTGACTTCGTTATGGGCGTTGGCCATCAGGAGGAAACTTATGTGGAGTCTGGACACTTTTCAAATCGGTCGGAGAACTCCTCGAGTTATGACGAATTTCTCCCTTTATTTCCAAACTTCGTCCAATCATCGTATAGTAACTCTTCGTGAGAACCGGCGAAAAGTGGGACGAAAGAGGGGTAGTCATTTCCCTTCTGAGCGAGATTTTTAACGGATATGTAAAAACAACGGATGTTCTCCTTGACGAAAAGGAAATAACATCTGTTATGTGGGGTTTTTCCCACGTTTAAAACTCTATTTTTCTCACCAAAAACGAAATATTATTTGGTGATATTATTTAAGAATATTTAATAAAACTTATTAAATGAGGCCTAGGGCCTTCCGGATCTCACATAACTCTATTGAGTTTCTTTCTTTCATTTTATATGCATGGAGTCATCTTTCCATATTTGAGTTCTAAGTTTCTTTAAATAAATGTTTCTCAGTAGTCATAAGGTAATTGGTGATATAACTTACATGTATGGTGGACATCACGCCTAAAATTTTTGCCTAGTTGGAGAGAAAATTCACACAAAAAGCCATTATCATTCGTTTGCTGTATGTTTTATTTTCTTACAAGCACTTTTGATGCAGTAAAAGGCATTATTCTCAGGTAGAATTGGAATCGTACCAATTTTGAACAAAATTTTAAATTGAAATGAGAACAGTATTAGCCGTTTGGAACTTTATAACATTTAGAACAAGAAACATTTTAAAGCTTAAATTTGAAAAATGCATAACGAGGCGCATGCATCTTAATACATAGAATAGGTGGAAGGTGTAGGAGCAGAGCTAATATAGATGTTTTAATCACTTGTATAGATTAATCCTGACTCTGGGCAAATTCAGGGTGGGATAGTTGAAAGGCAACAGCAACTTGGAGGAAAGGGACTCCTAAATGTGCAGATTTCTTTAGATTCCCCCTGAGTTAATTAGAAGGCCTTTCTATTACCTTCCACGCAGGCCTTTACCAACTCTGAGCTCAATGCCATCCACTCAGAAGTATGTGTGGCGGGTTATAGCCCTTTCAAGTATAATCACATCCTAAACTAGGTTAAAAGGTCCCTTTACCCGCAACTACCTTATGCAACCCAAGGGACTGGATAGTAGTCCATCCTTCCATATCATTTTGTGGCCATCTCACAGCCCGCATTTGCCGCATAGTTAGGCAAAACGCAAAATTTTACCCATTGCCCCCTGCCCAAGTCTGAGGAGACTTTTATGTAATGATAGGGATGTGTTTTCAATCCTAGAAAAGTTGGGCGTTTACTCCATTTCGTTGGAAAACCCAGTGTTTGGTGTACACACCCATTATATAAGGGTAACCACTAGAATGCTCTCTAGCCGCATCACTGAGCACCAACATTCTGTCCACTTTGGGACCGCGTGGTGATGCTCAGGAACTGTGAAGAAGGGGGCCAAGTGTACATTTGGGAGGCCCTTTTCACTGAGTTGCTGTCGCTTGCAACTCCCCCACCCTGAATTTGCCCAGAGTCTGGATTAATCTATACAAGTGATTAAAACATCTATATTAGCTCACTCCTACACCTTCTGCCTACTCTATGTATTAAGATGCATGCACCTCGTTGTTACATGTTTTTCAAATTTAAGTTTTAAAATATTTCTTGTTCTAAATGTTAGAAAGTTCCAAAAGGCTAATACCATTCTCATTTCAATTTAAAATTTTGTTCAAAATCAGTATGATTCCGATTCTACCTGAGGATGACACCTTTCACTGCATTGAAAGCACTTGTAAGAAAATAAAACATACAACAAATGAAAGATAAAGCCTTTTTGTGTGAATTTTCTCTCCAACTGGTAATTGGTGATTAATTAATTACTTCTATCTGCTAGGTAGGTTTTCATTGTAAGAGATTTCTATATATTGTATACTTATATCTATTTGGAATTTATAATTGAGTATTTTGCATATTTCTTAGGATACATCCTAGGCAGTAGTGTCCACTGACAAACACACTACCAACCATAGCAGACAAACCAATACAAAAGAATGCGCACCTCCAGAGTAACTGTACTTAACATGCAGCAACCATCTGTCAACACTTCTACATGTGCATGCAAGAAAGATTCTTTCTACCTATGGTAGCTGGATGCTACCATGTAGAATGCACCTTCAGCAATTATTTAGTATACGTGTATTGCATTGTCTAGAACAGGGTTGTCCAACCTTTTTACCTTATGGGCCAAATTAGTAATTTACTTATATTCAGTGGGCCACAAAGGTACCTTATATAAATATATGCTTTTAAAAAGTTCAAAATGTGAATAGTAAATTTTAAGAACAAACATATATAATTACAAAAAATACTTTAATATTGACAGTAAAAAAATTATACTCACACAAAATAAAAATATATTCAATGTGATTTTTGACATTGCTTTCCTTCTATAATATTGTCAATATTTGCATTTATGGTACTAGTCTTAATTCTAAGAATGTTAGTTAAATGGAAATCACTTAACTTATTTCTTTTAGCAGTCTTGATGTTTTTCATGCAGAAAAAGAATTGTTCACAGCAATATGTACTACCCCACATGCATAACAGTTTTCTATATAAAACAATTTTCTTGCACCAATTATGTCATTATGGCATCAAAGTGTATCCAGCAAAGCGAGAATAATTTTTACGACATACTTTACCAAAATAAGTGAAAATGTACCTAAAAAATTTAGGGGCCACAGTGCAGCCCACGGGCTGGACATCCCTGGTCTAGAACAATATAAACTCTGTCAACACAGTAACATTTAATCATATTCTCGACAAGAACATGCTTGAACTAAATTGTAAACATGCATAAAATAAAAGTGAAAATTCAAATACAGTATGTTAAATTTTTTTATAATTCAAAAACATGTCTGACTGGAGTGGAACATTAATGGGTAGCTCTCATTTGTTGTACAAGTGCCTTTCTACTTATGCCATTTGGGCTTCAGAGATTAATTGATTTGGACAAATATTTTATTTTTAAAATATAACTATAACAAGAATCAGCACTTCCATTATTGTTATGTCACATTTCAAACATTAGGATGCATCATTAAATATACAATTTTCATTTATATCAAAACTAACTCTAGAATATTATATGTTTAAAAAAGTTATAAGTTCAGAATATTTAATAATTTATCCAAATACATCCTGTTTGATAACAGAAAACAACTCTGTAATATTCATAAAGCATGTAAATCATAAAAAATAGATATCTATAGAAGTTTAAATCATTACTTATTCCAGAAGAAGTGTTTCAAACTTAATAATTTATGTTAAGTACAGACTATATAGATGAAAATAATATAGTGTATTTACCTACATTTCAAGTAGAGAAAACAAAAAGATTTGAGCTTATAAATGACTATCTTTACTTATTTAAATTGTTTATTTATAATTTTTTAAATAGGTATCCACTAAATGACAAGATTTTATCTCTACAGATAAAACCCACAAATTTACAAATAACTTTGTTCTATCTTTATAGAACACAAAGTTACTTATAAATGCACTAAAATGAAGATGGCTCCAACATTTGGTATTCATCAATAGCCGAATAATTGCCTTTCATCAAAGTATTTGCTACATAAGCATGTATTTACACGCAATTATTTGCCAAGCATCGGTTCGTCATAGGAATTGCCCAAGATTTGTTTCCTTTGATTCAGTACAATATACCAACAAGAAATGGGAATAGAAACATAATCAAATTATCACCTTCAATAACCAGGCTATAACTGTTAATTTAATGATTAGGAAATTTGCTACTGGAGGTAGACATTAGGCACCATCTCTTAACGAAATTAATAATTTATTGAATAATTTAGAACCATCCAGAAGAAGAGAACCGACCTATGGTGGGGTTTGAACATGCAACCTCCGCTTGCTGTGCAATTATTTAGTATTAATCATTAAATTAATAGAGCTATAGCCCAATTATTTAAGGTGATCATTTGGTTATGTTTCTATATATGTATCAGGTTTTGCAATGTTTAATATACTTAAGAAATGAGAAATGGCAAATATTGAATATTTGTCAGAGAAAATCACAAGTAAATCATCTATACTACTTGGTACCGGCAAAATGTTTGCTCAGCATTTGGCAAATACCAAATACATGGAGCCTGATTACGCAAGAAGTCACCTTATCTCCAACCCATAATCACAATTTGCTTGAATTGCCTACTTAATTAATAGTTACATGTCAAATGGAGCATTTACTTTAATTAACAATGTTGCCAAAATTTCATCTTACAGGTGTTAGAAAACATACCACTACGTAACTTGACATTGCATGATTTCTACTACATAAACATAATTTCTTGCATGTACCGACTAGAGGAAGAGAAACTTCTCCCCGAACCTGTACAATACATTTAGAATATGTACATGGTTATAGAATACACACTAGCAAAATTAAATTACATAAATATTCACATGTATAAATTGTAAAGTTTCATCTGAAATTATCATCTATTTTTCAGTGCATTTGGCCTGTCCTATAAGATATAAGGGAAACTTTAGTGAGTATGTATCATAGGGATTGTTCGTAGCCTATAATCTGTTTTGTTTTGCTTATATAGGGATGGTCTATAACCCTCTCCCAAGATACAGTGAGTGGTAAAATCATAAAAATTATAAATTTACAATCTTAAAATTTGCAAATTACATACAAAAATCATCGCAAATTAAATAAATTGGTTTAATTATGATGACGAGGATGCATGAGTTTAATCAAGATGATTATGTTTAAATGTAATCAATTTCATGGTATCCAGTGATGAGATGATGCCACGTGTACTTATACAAAAATTTGAATTTTTCGTTCGGTTAAGGACTTTTACATATTTTATGCTTAATAATGATTAATATATCAAATATCTCGATTAGATTCGCACGCTTACCATCAATGGTGAAGCCATTTTTTCTTTAATTCTGCAAAAACCTTCTTCTAGTCAGCTCCCTCGACTTCTACTTCCACATCCGCTACTAGATGGCAGCTCTAAATATTTTAAATTCATAAATTTATTATCAGTTATAATAAATTTTAATATAAATCTAGTTTTATTAACTTATATAACCAGCGTAATAATAAAATAATACGATTACTGCAATTCGTTGTAATTTTTTGTTTTCGGTCCGATAATGACGTAACGCATTTTCCCATTTGATGAGCATCGATATTCTTGAATTCTTAAGAACTGATTTAGATAATTGATAACAATAATATTAATATTAATAACTTTTATAAAATTAATATTTATTGATTAATAATTAATTTTATAAATCAAACGTTAAACTATTTTGTGTTCCATTACTGTTCGTCAGATGGCGGGAGTAACCTGAATAAGGTCTTCAAAGTAAAATAAAAAAATAATAAATAAAAACTGTTTGAACTGAATGAAATTAATTTTTCCTTTATAAATATTTTTAAAGCATAAAAGCATATTCAAAAATAAAACTTCAATTTAAAATAAATGTAATAATTAATAAATTTTAAAAATCTTATGTGGCGTCACATTACCTTAGCAACAGATTAGTTTTAATAAATTATTTAGTTTCTATGGAAAATCAAAATGGCCACTTTTGAGATTTGAAAAAATTTGATTAAAATTTGAATATAAAATGTTACTTTATTAAAAATTTTGTTATTAAATTAAAATATATTTCTTTTTGAATTAATTTCTAATTAAATTTAAACGAAAAACGTTATTTTTCTTTTATTAATTTTTGTTTTACTATACTCCTGTTAGGCCTAACCATAATTTCATGAATTTTTTTTTAAATTACAGATTAATGAACATCGAAAAGAAGTGATGAATGATCTTGAAGTAAGCATATTTTATTTTTATATAAACAAAGAACATGACATTTGACAGATCTAAAATTTAAAAATATAGCATAAACATTTTCATATTTCTCAAAAAGCATTAAGACTTTTAAATAGCAACTAATCTGATCACAAATACTTATAAAAATTAATGACTGTTTTAGCTTACATTACTAAGAGAACACATACAAAACTATACATTTGTAGACATACGTAAACAGTATATAGAATACATAGATATATAATAGACTATCAATATGGTGAATGATTTAGCTCAGTTCCCTGTATCGCGAGTACACTATAGCCTGCATAAAGGATGTTACAAATAAAGTGAATCCCATAACTTGGGAACGACTAAAGATAGGAGGATCAGATTATGGCCAAACGTGGAGCAAAGGTCCTATGGGTCCTAAATTTCTTACCAAAGTCTAAAGTTACGTGGAGTCAAAAACGATGCCATCGGAAAGTATGTGAAAATCTAAACAATGTTTACTTTGGGGTAAATTACGATAACTTGTGCCATTGTAAAGTAAACATAAATATGTAAGCCATGAAAGGTGGAGAGGCAAGCATTGTAAACAAGTGCAACTGTGCCGTGCTGTTAAAGCTGACCACAACACATGCACATGGCTGTAATAGGCTGTTATGGAAGACAACAATGTTAACATAATTTCGGAAAGTAATGCTGTGTCCATAAAACTTACATCATACCAATATCGATATCAAAATTTTGGTTTATTACAGCCCTACTTAGGGTAATTTGGGCAAAGAGTAATAAACACATGTACTAACAACAGTTGGGCCTGTTTATACGCTTGCTTGTCTGCTTGTTAGCCTTTCCTGACTTACACGGTTATGTTATCTTTTCCCATATTTTCCGGTGGCACCATTTTTGACCTTAGGACCTTAGGTGGTACCATTTTTGGCGATAAGTCCCTCATAGAACCCAATAATCCAGATATCCCCAAAACATACACTCACCAACTTTTGGACATATATAGCTTGATTGCACTTAGTTTATCTGTAATTAGTCCGATTTTCCCAACTTCGGTTATTTCCAAGTTATGGGAATGACTCGCTTTATTTGTAACACGTCTATATACAGAAAATATATAGATATAGATTGACTATGTATCAATGTAAGTTCTGTACATAAAGCTAGAATTTTGTACACGAGAGCTCATTATGTACAAAATCCTACGTTATGTGAACTTTTTCTTTCAATTTTTCATACAGAAAGTACAGAAAAATTCATAAAATTAGAAAAAAATGTAGAGTATTGATAGAAATATGCTATTATATATTCAAACCTATAAGCCGAATAGATAAGTCATGCTTAATAATAAATTTGATAAGCACGTCTATCTGTTGAGGGAGCAAAATAAATGTTGATAGTAGCAAAACATCTGTAAGTAAAAAATGATAGTAAATTTGAAACTTCGTATCATTATTTTTGTTTTTGTTAGTTATTTAATTAATGCGAAATTTGTTTAAAACGTTCATAACACGTACCAAAAATAAAATAAAAATCCATTTAAAAACTTTATATTTTTCACTTCTAATTGGTATTCTCACTAACTACAATGAATAATCACATTATATACCCACTTTCATGCTTAATTTGTAATTATTTATGCTAAAGAAATAGCTAAATGTTAATATAGGGCCTATATATACACTTCAGTTTATAAATTCTACCGTATTTGTATGTTTATACATAAAAATTATCGAGAAAATTGCGTATTTCTTTTATATAAAATGAATTTAGAAGAAGTGAGGTTCAATAATGTTAAATTATTGTTATATTATATTTAAATATTATTATTAAATAATATTCAATTATTATTATAATTGTCAAAATTTAATTCTTAATTACCTTATCACAGATTTTTTTAAGTTAATTAAAACATGTTTAATTAATTAGGATTTTTTTAACATTGCTCAATAGAATTAGTGCCTTATCTACAGTTATTTTTTTAAAATTATAACAGTTTTTATCTTCCAATAGTAGTATTTCAGATTAAAACACGATTAGGTCATTGGTTACTCTGTATAGAAACAATGAATCAGGCAATCACGTGGGGAATTTAGATATAAAATCGAAATCGTTTCTGTTGTAGAATACATTAGACAACTTCAAAAAGAAATTGTAACATGTCGACTATATACGAGAAAGTACTAGAAAGTGAACGTATAGCGAATACCCTAAACAATGAAGATATAGAGGAAGCAATACAAAAAATTAGGGATATTTACAAGAACATTCGTAATACAAGATGTCTACCTGCCATCAATTACAATGAACCACGATTCAGATGCGCTTACGTCTATTACTTTGCAGGTTGTCACACTTCGTCCCTCGTGAGCGAGTTGTCCAAATTCAGTTACCAACATAATAATAAATACCAAGAGATGATGCTGTATTGTAGATCTTCTCTGAAAGTTTGCAGTTTGGGTGGAGGACCCGGTTGTGATTTGGTTGCTTTGCTGTACACTAGATATTTTTATGGTGGTACCGTCTACACCAGAGAGATACGTTGTATAGTGGTAGATCTGTTCGGCGGTTGGGGGGAATCACTGGAACACGTACGTCAGAGCTTCCTGAATACCATAGGAAGTGTGTATCAGAAAATGAAGGTCTTCGAATTTAATCTTCTTGAAGCTAACCTATGCGATCCGCAGGTTGAACCGGGTGTGAAGAAAGCTATAAGAGAGGCGCACATCATAACTATGGTTAAATTTGTGTCCATAATCCCCTCCAAGAAGTACGAAAATATGAAATGTTTAAAGGTAAATCGCCTAATTTTTAATTTAATTAGATTTATTCCTCTGTAATGTTTAATTATTATTATTATTATTCCGTAGAGAATATTTACTTTTATGAAGAGAAAAGCATTTATAATTTACTTGGATAATCTTCAAGGTGATTTATATGATAAAGTTGTGGAGGAAGCTGAAAATTGTGGACTGAATATGATATGGAGATCCCAGAGTTACAGAAGTCCTGAGGAGGAGAAAAGTGTATTTAGCAGCAACACTCTGAAGGTGAAAGCTTTGAAGCAAACGGCGATCGACGTAGTTGTGTGGCAGAAGGCATGATTGACACTTTTATTATTCTCATATAAACACATTTATTGTTTAATGTACCCTTCGCAACCATGATTATATGGCAGCCTTTACGATTGGCAGCACCATCGCTTTGTACACGGGAATGCGATTATGTTGCCAAGTCCTTAACAAGTTTTTCCCTATAGCCTATACCAACCACACTTTCCCACTAGCTTGGGCCAACGTTCCCAAGATTTTCCGTTGTCTGATAATATAACCATATGGGAGGTATATGTAACGCGTGACTATTGTTCTAGAAAGTTTTAATTGTGGTTACAATGTAGAAACACATAAATTTTTATGAATCTTAACATTTATTATTCATTGTTTTAATATTAACATGGCTCCGAATTTAATAAAATATTAATATTATTGTTCTATTTTACTTCTTTCTAATTACACAACACTGGACACTGTGCTCCCCCTAAGAAATATGCGTTTCCTGGCAAAAACCTTTGGGTCACTGAAATCCCTGCCATCTATGATCTAATGGTGCCCTGTGGTATCTAAGGGATCTATCATATCACGTGCTCCCAGATAAGCCCTTCTGTCGCTTCTGTGTGAAGGTCATAATTGTTTCTGACATCCAAACAAAATAAAAAACAAAACTGAAAAAAATACATATAACTAAAATCAAAAAAGTAAATCCTAAACAGAACAATCAACGACTGCAGATAACACGGGAACAATAAATAATAAATAATTAATCATTATTAAAACACAGACACGTGCTTTTACATATATTCGAATATAAAATAATCCGCATTCGATTACACTCAGAGGGTGCCAGAAGTGAGATGGACTGAGGCCAAGTACAAAACTATACATGGCTCCACCCTCGCCGAAAGTCGTAAAAATATAAATAAAATCGATAAAACAAAGAAAACACTTTTTTTCACCATTTTTTTTAACATAAAATTCTTAAATGTTTGGACCCTCTGTATCCAAAGCCAGGCCTGCTGTCCTTCTGTTAGGACCGCTTTCTTATATCTACATTCAAACCTCGATGTACCGTTCATCAAAATATCGCGCTAGATCGAAGTAATTCAAATAGACGTTAACATAAGTTTGAGATTTGAGTTTTTAAAGCCTCACAATCTCGTTTATAATATATCTCATACTTGCTTTACGAGATGGTGCTATATCGAGGTTTGACTGTACGGTTAAATATATAAATTCGAATACACCCATACACATTCTTAAGCACTCATCGGTATGTACTGTACAGTACAGTAATGAGATGTATTTATACACGTACTGCGGAATCTTAATATAGTGATCACCCGATATAGTTAATAATTGGTCAGTGTTTATTTATTATTATTGCTTTAGCTCAGTTCTTTGAGAGTTCATTGTACTGTACAGTACCTCTACTTGTATATTCACGGGTCTCACGATTATTTATAATAAATTACAGAAAATTTGATTATAGGGAAGCATGATCTATGATATTATTAATTGATAGTGATTATACCAATTATCAATCGTTCTATTCTTTGTCAAATACACAAAAACACACGAAGAGGGCCTTCAAATAACAATAAAGCCAGGAATAATGACACCCAGAAGAATTAGAATAACATCGTGAGTAATTAAGCACCCAACGCAAATATTCATGCCTTATAAGTGTTTCTATTATGGACGATGAATGGCGTATGAAATCACCTCCATATAACGTCGCCACTCGTTACAAAAGGGTGTGCCATAAGGCCAGGCGTAGGAAGCGATGTGACATATAACGCTCTCCCTATTGTGAAAATTAACTGTTAATTTATAATTATATTGATTTAATAAATTAAATCTAAATAATTTTTAAAATTTACTGTATTTATAGGTAAAATTTAATTTTTTTTTTCTTTATTTAGAAAGTACATCACCCGAAACCTGTTGAAGATTAATGGATTATTTAAAGCAAGAGTAAAAGTAACTTTTTAAATATCCTTGAAGGGTGTCCCAAATGTTAGTTCACCGTTAAAAAACCTTGAAATTTTTTATCTTTATCAAATACTTACAGACCTTAAGTAGTACAAGCTCAATAATTTTTGTCACTAAGCTCAAAGTTCAACATGGTAAACTGACTTTTGGACACCTGTATAAGCTGAACACCAATTATCTTTAAACTAGCAAACTTAACACTTATACTATGAAGAAATAAAAGCTAAATATTGTAATTATATGTGAATATTTCGTGTTAGAAAGTAGACAGACACTTGATTTATCGACATAAAACTAGAACAACAAAATACAACGTCATTCTCCACCCCACAACAGCAAATTTATTGCATACTTATCAGTTTTGCATGCTCACTTATGAGCTTCGACATGAAAATTTTCATGGTATAAATCGGTTTTGTTTTTAATTAAGGGGTACTTTCCTCTTGTAAATGAAACCTAACACGTCAAACACCCACCTTCTCTTCCATTTTATAAATCCACACTCAAGTAGAGGGTTATTTACTACCTGACATTATGAATGTTTTATATACCTGTCACTCCAAAATTTATAAGGATAAAATAATGTTGTCCATGTCTGTTACGTTAATGTTAATGTGTATATAAAGATATATATATATAATTAATCTACGATATATAATTCAAGTAACACGGAAAAGATGGAAGCACTGGCATTAATTACTCTCCGTGACTCGTAAAATGTGCATTGTTCGAAGTGTTAACTGCCTGAAAAGCTGGGTTTGGTGCTGGATAACACTTAATTTACGAGGCAATTACGTCAGGGGTATAAATTTTCAACATGGATCTGTATCTGGATAGACTGATCGTTACAAGAAGGTAGAATTTTTTTTCCGGTTTGATAATTGTAAATTTGTCAAAAAATCAGTGTAATTTGATTAGATTTTCGTGTCGTCTTCAATGTAATCAATTGAAACGTTGTTGTTTCCAAGAGAAACGCCTTTCTTTCTGGTTCTTTTCTTTACAAAAGCTGGAATTCCTGTTTTGACTTAAGTTTTCAAAATTTCAGTTAAATTATCTGTACATATCTCTAGTTTACTTAATGCCTTTATCTAATAGAAAATTCTCTGGAAACAATTGACAATACTTTCTCTTCCCATACCATACAATTATCTTTTTCATGAATACAATAAGCTTATTTTGTGTAAATAAACAATAATAGGCATGGTCATTCCCTCCACTTTCTGGAAAAATCACCAGCCAGCTGCCCTCGTGAGAAAAAGTAAACAACAGAACTGTCATCTCCCCTCGAGCTTCCTAAAAAGTGAGCAAAATAACTGTCATCTCTCTCATTTCTCGGTGTAAAAATCAACAGGATAAATGCATCCTTGCTAATACTCTTACACATAAAAAAGATGTACGATACAACACTACACCACGAGCAGGAGACGTATCGTTGTGTAACATCCTATTGAATTATTATTCGAAAATATAAGCTTGAAACTTTAACTAACGATAATGAATTGCGTATCAACTGTTGTTTCAAACAGAAAATCTTCATTCTAGTGTCTGTGAATTCAAACCATCATACAGTTTATCCGCAGAGTACAGAAGATTTTTAAGAAAACGCTATTTAAAACTAACTTTATTGATGATTTCACAGAGATAACTCGCGGAATTTAGTGTAAATTAATGATGAAAAAATGCCAAATAAATTATAAATCCAGTACAGTTTATCATATCTGTTGTGTTAAAAAGGTTCAAATGTGGGCTAACAGGTAGATTCACTTTTATACACTCAATATAACGAATACGATAAGCTGAAGATAATATTAGACAACTACAGGACGAATAGAATGTTTGATATGTGATATACACAGTAAATATTCTACATTGTGTTAAATATGAGGAAAACAAACACCATACTTAAGTAACATGTGTTGAGGTTGTCACGTGGTACGAAGTCGCGTTTGTACCACGTGACAACCTCAACATATTTAATTAAAGATGTGTTTCAGACTAACGAAACCATTAACAAGCAATGAAATTGCTTATATATTTAATTATGCTATATATTTGTGTTAATTAACATACAACAATGCTGAATAGGAATACAGTTAAGGTCTGTCTGTCAGTATCAAATGAAAGTGCAGTTTTAAAGGAAAATATTTTGATCGGGTGAACGGTTTATTTTTATTTATTTTTTTTTTTTTGAACGAACAGACCTATGGAAGTGGGGTATTGGGACGGTAAACTGATCATGCCCAGATGAGACCCTAACGGTAATATTTGGAAGTTAACACCCCTATCTCAGAAACCATGAAAGAAACAGAAAAAATAAATTAGAAGTTTCAGAGTTTCATCGTATTAGTAAAGAGCATGACATTCCATAGAAATGAATGATGCAAAGATTGGAAATTAACACAGAATGTTATAGAGCTGATATATATATATATATTATCAGCTCTTTATAACATTCTGATATATATATATCACATAATAAAACTTGAAAATATATATATAGGCCTATATCTTCGAGTTTTATTATGTGGGCACGATACCGTTGCTCTTCTGATCCTGTATTGGTGGAAGAAGGTCTCCAGAAAGAAGAATTTGTGATGGTCCTCGAGCTTAGTAAAGATGGACAAACGACTACGCTTCTTCACGAACAAATTGTCGACTCGATGTAAAGATGCTACACTATGCAATAGACGATTTACATTTTCTACTGTAACTGGAAATATGATTGGGTTTTTCTTCTGTAGTGTTACGACCTATTTCTGAAAAGAGTCCTGGATTTTGCTCTATTATGTCGCCAATAGTTCATTGGAGCATCCTTACTAGTTTCACAAAGGTAACATCCATCAGCAATATACGTTGTAGTCGGTATGCTTCAAGTGGATGAGTCAGGTGGATGCTTCAAAGACGAGTGCCAATGGCATTCTTCGTAGAACGAGCAATTATTTATTGTGACATGGTCACAATGCCGGGATGCCATTTTTAATCATATTTTTTAAATTTCTTTAATTTAAAATATATGCTCTCCACCTCAAATTAGTAGTGGCTTTCCCTCGTATATCACATTTTTTCTTTAACAATAGAGTCGTGCCGGTCATCAATCTAACACCTTTTGAGGGAAGATTTTTGAATCGAAATAACATGACTTTCGGTTTGCATCAGTAGTTCGTATATACTGAATCGCGGCCTTCTGTCCGTAACGTTTTCTTATCTTGTCTGTTCTTTCATCTATCTAACTCCGTTCTGAAGGTTAAGAAAAGACAGACGGGTGAGGACAGTGGGAATTTATAGATTTACAATTTTTTCAAATTGCAGCTCAATTACTCGCCTCAATTTTCGTAACCTGTTATTAATATAAGATAGGAGGGATAAAAGTAATACATTTCCAAATTTATTACAAACAGCATTATTACACGCGAAATGAGGGAAGAAAAAGAGCGCCAAAACTAACAACACCATTCTCTCTCTCCAAAGATACCCGCTGAAACTCTCAGCGCCTCCTCCAAAACGTCCTTTTTAGAGACAACGGGAATGAAGCCGAACAAGTATACTTCTATTGGTATAATAATAATAATAATGCAGTAGTGTGTCTGTAATACGACGTAAACGGGACCGGTAGTGTCTGATAACCGGATTTTGTATGTACTTACGTATTGTACAATAAAAAATTCACTTGGTTCACGATTGTGAACAAACTAGCGACTGACAATACATGTGACAATACATGTACTTCCCGAGTGTAAAACACACTTCACAAAACATTTTTTATTATATGTTGCCGGGAAAGTTAAGCAACTCGTTGCTCCGCTTGTTGCTAGATTTTTAAAATTGAAAAACTATCTATGAATTGAAATTTTAAAAAATCTCACATGAAACGAATGTAAAATGTTTTAAATTTTCACGTGAAATGATTGTGAAAATTCATGTGAAAATTTTAAATTTTATTTTGAATGAAATTTTAAAAATTTAAATAATTTGATTATTTTGTTAAGTTACGGCAACCGCAACACTTGGGCGATCTGCCTAAGGGGAATGCGTTCCGGGGGGGTCTTTTTAAGGGTAACTGGCCTATATTCAGCCGTTACAGACGTGGAGAAAACCCGAAAATCTCCACATGGCATGGCCAGCCCGTCCCGGACAGCGCGAACCCACGACCAAACTCCCAGTGTTCAGGGAACGGAACTGCTTGTCCATTGGTGGGCCAAATAATTTGATAACTCAACATTTCTATATTTTTAGATAATTTTTGACTCGATTTGTGTATGTGCGAGGAAAGAATATAATCCACATGTTTTTCACAGCTTTTACCTTCAGTGAAAACTGTACGGGTGGGTTTATCGAAATGGTGTCAACAGAAGCAGAAAACCACGGTTTAGCACTGGTTTTTTATGTAAAACATGTCAACATGTAGAAAAGAACTTCAATTTTTCTGAATACGAAGTACCCGAAGAATCATTGAAAGTGACTTCAGTAATTATTGTCGTCTTGAAGAATTATTAAAATTTTATTTCTAATTTCTCTCTAGCTTCAAACGTAAAAACAAATAATTAATTCGGGCATTCGCAAATTAAACTGAAATTGTTCACTTAAAATAAATTAAAATGGAATCAGATTTAAAAACAAAATGCGAAATTTATAACGAAAATGAAATCTGTACAGTAAAAATTCAAGTTTAACTTTTTATATGAGAGATTTAATGTTTATATTTAAACAGTATTTAGAATATTTCAAATAGTACTTATACAAAGTAAAGTTCAAAAGAATAACGTACTTCAATTTGTGAAGCAGCCTTTACAATAAATAGTTTGTTCAAGCTTTCAGCGTAATACTCACCCTATGAGTATAACCTTTATTTTCTGTCTCCCAAATGTAACACGAACCTATCAGTGGCTGAGTGGATAAAACCATTGAACATGGGTCGTGGGTTCGCTTCAGGCTAACGGGCTGGCCAAGTGGAGTTTTCTGGATTTTATTCGCGTTTATAACACCTAAATGGGGGCCAGTATCCTTCCTGGCGGCATCCAAACAAAAAGTAACACTTGCAAATAAATGAAAATTACAAATTCCTTTATTGCTCTCTAGTGGATCCGAGTTTGAATACCTTTCTATTTTCTATGAGAGGAAAAGAAAACATTATGAGATGTGGCTGCATACGACATAGTTAAGATGCGTAGACTCAGAGAAAATGAATATTAGTTTTTAAGTAACAAAATTCTTAATTTCCACTTGGCAATTTTGAATACTGACAAAAATATAATAGCATGTGACCATAAAAATTGTTGACAGAAGTTGCTTTATTTTTCATTTTCACTCACTTTCCTAAGAACGGTCTTTTTAATCATACCCATAATGGATTCGTCCAGACCAACAATGGAAGCAGTTGGGCCTCCACACATCCGGGACAGACTACCCCGAAAAATTCCTAAGGTTGCTCTCCCGGAATCGATCCCGAATCTCTCAAAGCGACGGGAATTCTACAAGAATTACTAATTTGCATTATAACGGATGCATATGATTTACGAGTGCATACAGCTCCTGTCTGTGTACCACGAATTATGCTTGCAAATATAGTACACTACAAGTTGATGGACTTCCACTAAATTTAGTGAAGTTTGAACTGTGAAAAGCATGTCTACGACTTGGCAACAGTGCCGGTAATGCCCGAGAATTGACTGGTGTTGGATAACTGGACGTGTCTGGACATTAACGGCCGGATTGCATTGTATTCACATCTTTATCGATGCGTTAAACATTTTTGTTAAGTGTTAAACAGTCACTTAACATAAGAAAACTTGGCAATTACAAAAAAATCAAACATGCAAACTCACTGTTAAGCTAAGCCATGAATTAATTCATTCAATAAATAAGCTTGCGTGAAGACAATTTCGTGAGTTACAGGTTTCAAAACCGAATCAACGTAAGTATCAGATTAAATTTTATCAAAACGAAACCGAAAACGGTTTAAATTCCGCTTATTTCTTTTATCGAATTCAATAATCCTGAAATCGCAAATGATAGCATTGTTTACAATGGATACAAATGGATTGTGACTTATAAATCACGTGATGAAATTAAGAATAAATTGGATACGGTTTCGATTTTGTAAATACTTTAGACGCTAATAGACAGTGGATGCTATCATAATGTACGAAGAGGTGCTGAACAAAGAGAGAGAGGAATTCAACGTGAGTGAAGCTCAAATAGAGAAAGCTTTGTGTGAAATTCGAAATGTTTACAGAATAATACCCTGCAAGAAATACCTACCTGGCATCGATTACAATCGATCATCGTACAGATGTGCCTATATATATTATTTTGGTTATTACCACACTGCCATGGTAGAATACCTGTTGCTCAAGTTCAAGAATGAGAAAGAATCCAAGTTTAACGATATGATGATGTACAAGAACTTCAACATGAACATTTGCAGTTTGGGCGGAGGTCCGGGATTCGATTTAATTGGGCTTTTAAAAGCCAGATCGTACTTTGTACGGATGTGCATGAAGAAACTGAAATGTACTGTGATTGATCTGTGTAATGGTTGGGAAATCTCCCTACGCCACGTGCGTCAGAGCTTTTTAAGTGGCGTAGGAAGTACTTACAATAGTTTTCAGGTTTTCGACTTTGATCTGGTAGAGGCTAATCTGTGTAAGCCTCTAGAATCAAATGTGAAGCAAGTCATCGCTGAGGCTGACGTCGTCAACATGGTCAAGTTTGTATCGGCAGTACCCTGTGATGGCAAGCGTAATATGGAATATTTACATGTAAGTCATTGTATCGAAACTGTAGGCCTACTTACATTAAGTAAGCGCTTATCTTTGCTCATTCTTATTGCAGAGAATATTTGCTTTGATGAAGAAAAATGCGTATGTATTCTATGTAGATAATATCAACGGTGAATTTTACAAGATGGTAGCTAAAGTAGCGGAAAAATATTCTTTAATACTCGTGTGGAACTCTGAACATAGGAAATTGGAAGTGCAAAGACCCATTTTTATTCAAAACAATTTTAAAAGCAAAACAATGAAAGGTACTTCAGTAGTTGCAGCAGTATGGCAGAAGATTGACTCTCCTTTATGATGACTGATTTATTGAAGGTACGTTACTGATCTCAAATTTTTCCTGTTGATAATGTTTATGTAAATAATCAGCTTTATCCTACGGCCGCTTCATTCTATCGCTCTGGGAACCCAGAATTTAATCCTGGCAAGCAAAACCAGGAATTTTTCATGTGTGATATGTCTCGGGTACCTCAATCTTCGTCTTTCATCATTTGGCAGTCACAGTTTTGGGCCTGCCCGAACCAATGAGGGACATGGAAAAATGTCCTTGCGATGCCAGAGAGCGGAAACAATCTAAAATAAACTTGCTACATAAGATTATGCTCAAGCTGAAGCTATTTTTTTATCATTATTTTTATTGTAATAGAAATAAAATTACCTCATATTTTACCACTGCTAAACCTGTACATTATATAGTTAAATAATAAAATATTTTAAGGTATTAATAATTACCGTGTTATATCTGGGAGCATAAGAATGAAGATTAAATATGCTTTCATCCAATTATAATAACTGATTGAGCATTAAAATTTATGTAAATTAAAATTGTACTGTACAGTATATACAACAATAATGAAATATCATATACGGTGGTAACTCAGAACTCTAATTCAATTCGTTCCTAGAGGGCATTCAAGTTCTAAAGCAATTCTTTCCATAAGGAATAAGGTAAAGTAAATTAATGCATTTCCAAACCCGAAAAATGCCCATTTTAATTCTAAAAATATCATAGTACACGCTAAATTAACACAAGTAAATGCCCGAATTAATGCATAAAACAACGAGCAATTATTTATTGTGACATCGTAATAATGCCGGCCTGCAATTTTTAATCATATGTTTAATTTATTTAATTTAAAATATATGCTCTCCACCTCAAATTAGTCATGATTTGCCCCTGTGCATCATATTTTCCTGTTAGCAACAGAGTCTTGCCGAATAGATAAAACCAGTATTCTGTAAACCAGACACTCGAACAGGTAGGGATGTCCAACACTTAATATTTTGATGTGGCCCACTACACCCTAAATTAGGTACATCTTATTTATTTTGGTAAAATATGTCGTAAAAATTATT